GAAATAATTTATCTGCATTTCCCTGATTTTGTTGATATTGAAATTTAATTTTTTCTTTTTGTTCGAAAGTTTATCAAAAAATTTTGTCCTTTTATTAATCTTCTTAAACAGATTAATAAGGTACACAAAGAATTTCCATCCGAAAGCTTTAATAGCGTAGGAAACTGCTTAAATAACAGGAATCCTCCGATTTCGCCTTAATCCGGCCCGTTTTCTATTTAATATACAGATCCGTATCAAACTTTCCTTCAGAAAACTGTCTTTTCGTCCTTATTTCAACCAAATAAACACAAATAACGACGCCAAAAATACACTACATTGTCCACTATAATTTTGACCTCGGCATTTCATGAGTTAGCACAGGTACTGTACGTCTTCTTCCAATATAATACTCAAAACAGGGACATAATTCGATGTTCAAAAACGTTTCCTATCCCCGAGTATTTTTTAACCCGACCTGCCGGTACACTTGCATTCAGGGTTTCCAAACTACAAGCCGTATACTTCCCGCGTACGGAAATCCTTACATTTCTCTACGGTATTAAGAGGAGACTATATGGGATTCGTAAAATGTAGCAATGGATTTGATCCATATTGTTAACTTTACAAGCCACATTGGTTAATGCAGAGACATGACGTTTTATGAACGGCCATTTCACGGTATTTAAAAGTCTCACAATTAGAAATTTTTTTAAAACCGAATTATGTCCCTCCTTCCAGTATAAAATTGGAAGAAGACGTAATTTTCTACCGAATGGACGACAGAATGAATATTTTTATTCATGTTTCCCATGAAATATATTTGGACTTTTGGGAGCATCGAAAATCAATGAGAAAAATACATGCTAATTAAGTAGTCATTCTTACGGAGTATAAACTTTGTATGCGGCCGGAAGGAAGTTCGCTCGAAAGCCAGCATCCTGCGGTAACTGAATTATTATAGAATTATACTGCAGACGGATCACTTTTACAACCCCACAGAATTAATCTTAAAACGAAAACGCATTTCGGTTGACATTTCATGAGTTAGCCCACCTACCGTAGTTCCGTGTCCTGGATCGACCCTGACCCCAACACTAACCCTCATGACCTTAACCATTCTAAGCCCAATCATAATGCCAATCCTAGCCATCCTGAAAATTAGCCTAAGACCACCCCTAATACGGGAGGCCCATATTCCCTGACTCATCCAAATCTTTCCTGGTAGTCAGTTTCGTCGTACACACGCCAAGTACCCTTACCTGGTTCAGCTCGCCTCCGAAGCCCTACTGGGTAAAGCACAGTTTCGGATCGGAGTAACTAACATGTGATCTCGGCCTACCGCCTGCCACACAGGAGACAGAAGCATTTCAATTTTGAAAGTGTGGTTGACTGTTTTAGCAGGCTCAGACAGGGAATCGCTGCGTGGGAGAGAATGAGGAAAGTGGGGCAATGTCTGGGGACTCAATTCCCGCGCCTTCCTGACGCGCTTTGTAATTATCGCGTTGAGCTAAAAGTTGCGGCTTGGGATGCTGCCAACTGACAGGATAGCTCGTTCCTTGCTGTCAACCCTGTGCATGACTGGTGGGCTGCAAATCATGCTGTAATGGCTCCCTCCTAGTGCGACCTCTATTGTACTCCCATCCAGCTTCGCCAATCCGGCATCAACGAAAGGAAAATGTTTAACAACCCGTCTACGCGTGCCACACACTTCCTGGTTCTTGATGCATGAACTGGGCTGTTGTAGGTAGGGCTCGGATCTTGCAGCGCTGAAGATACCATTAAAATCACACTGAGTATGCTCCGTTGCAGCCCCGCTGTCAGTCCGATAGGTGCCAGTTAGCAGCTTCTGAAGCCACAACTCGTCGCATGTAGTAATATTTTGAAGCGCGTTGGATTTATTATAGTGAGGAACGCGCTGATTTGCCGTGTAGAATGAGTTCCCCAGTATTGGCTCCACCCTTTTCCATGCACCTGTCCAAGGTAGTGTGGTCGACAAGACAAGGATTCCCAAATCAGAAGTTAGGGACGACGGTTTAAGTCGGACAACCTTTACTGTTTTGGAAATGCGTACCCAAAGGCTCTGTAGGCAGTTGCCGCGAGCGCGCTCTCCAGGCCAGTTGTTGTCCGTGTCCGCCTTCGAGGTGCTGACGCCAAGCGCGTGTGTGCGCCTTTCGCTGTCTTCGCATCCGCCAGCCAATCAGAGGGGGGCAGCGTTGATTGGCCTGGAGCAGTCGCGAGGCTAGTGATGAGCCTCGCGCGTCCGATCGGCGTATCGACAAGGAGTGTGAGGCGGACAGGAAGGCAGCGTGGAAAAGGCGGAGGGCAAGGAGGCGCGAACTGCCACACACCAATCGACTGTTCGATTCCGTCGGTCAGCTGGCGCTGGGATTGGGTGCAGTAACAGGCGTGATAGGCAAGCCACTACGTCCCCCTCCCCACGTACGACAGTAATTGCCGGGGTCGCGCGAACTCTGTGCGCAGAGGTCCCTCTAACCATGTGTCCAGTGCAAGCCTTGACGAAACCCGTTTCTATGCGCTTAGAGGTTGCGACAGATGGCTTTGCAGGTGTTAATAATAAGCTGACGGAATTTCAATGATTCTTGTCCGACTGCTCCACTCCAGTTTTGGGTGATAATTACCGATATTATTGCAGGTGGCCGTGAGTTGCCTTCAACGCCAGCTTGACTTTGGACATGCAAGTTGACAGTTATCAACGACTTCCACTGTGTGCTCGATAGCAGTGTGAGAACAGATACGACGACTTGCGCGTGAATTAGTTTATAGTGATAGTGGGCTTACGCCTCCACTGCCCACACTGCCCTCGCACCTTCACGCATCGCATGGGTCTATTCGGCCACATGCGCATCCACGACGACCTGCGGTAGACAACCGCCGGTCACACCACACATTCCCTTACTCCCTACCTCCTAACACCATCACCCCACCAGACATCAACCCCCACACACCTCATGCACTCAACTGCCGCCTCCCACGCAAGTGGGAAGTGTGCATCTCGACTCGGTCCCCATGCGGCCTCGGCTGCACGGGTGACTTGAGTCCGAGACTATCCCGACACGTCAAGTGTCGTGGATAGGAAGGTTGCTGATTGACGCCCGCTCTCGGTTCACGCAGTTCGTCACGTTGTGTGTGTGTGTTGTGTTGTGGCGGACTGGTGGGCTGGGGACGGGCTGAAGCAGCACCTTCCACGGCCCTCTCACGCATGTGAGAGACACGCCGTTCAACCCCCGTTGTGTGAAATTCTGGTGTTTGTGTGTATGGGGGGCCAGGTCGTGCTGTGGCGCGCGCAGGCATGGTCAGTCGACCATGTCAGCCACCGCGCCCATTCCCCACTCCAGTCTACTGACCGGCTCGGACAGCGGCTGGGGTGTGGGAATGGGAAGGAAGAGTGAGGTCGACGACTCAGCGCATTTTCCTCACTATAAACAATCTGACGCGCTTGAAGCTATCACGGTGCGCTAAAAGCCGTGGCTTGGAAGGTTGCCAACTGACGGGGTACCTTGGACCTCCTCCTTAACGGGAGGCGGTCTGAGAGTCAGGCTGCAATGGCTCCTTTTTAATGTGGCCTTTATGGCATTCCCACCACAGTGTGGGACCCGAGCCAGGCGTTGGCGGCACGCCCAGGTGCGGCTTCGGCCGTGCCAGCCTCCAAATCTATGTTGTGTTGGTTCAAATCCTAGTTATTGTGTGGACCAGGGGGTGTGGTGGAACGCCAAGGTGAGGATCCGTCCGAGCCATCCACCTGCTGCCTCCCTCGTCTCCGGTCTTCTGGACTCTGTCTTGACACCGGGCCCAGGCGGGGGAGGAGGAGAAAGTGTAGGTAGATGCTACGCAAGTCTACTGGCACTATAAACCCCTGCGTAAGTCACCGTCCCTGCTCCCACCGCTGCTGCAGCTGTGGGGCACACGGTGGACATCGTCGAAATCGACGGTCGAACTGTCAGTGGGCTTACGCAGCAGTTACTTCATTCTCTCCCTCCCTCCCCACCCGACCATGGGGCCGGAGAGGGCGCAGGCTGCTGGCACGGCGAGCTCCCCACCTAGGCGTACTACCAAACTCCCTGGCCCATAATGTATACCCACCGGGATTTTACACAACAAGAAAGATAGAGGAGGAGGAGTAGGAGGAGGAGGAGTAGGAGGAGGAGGAGGAGTAGGAAGAGGAGTAGGAGGAGGAGGAGGAGGAGGAGGAGGAGGAGGAGGCTTGAACCCCAACCCGCTCGGCGTGAGCCTGCAACTAGGCGCGTCACCGTAACTCAATGTTGGCATTTGTTTTGGTGCACATTCCGATAACGACTGGCGGATTCCCATCCAAGTCACCCGTTAGTTCAGCGCATCTTCCGCGTGGTCCGCTTTAGAGACATACAAGTTATTGATTTACTTGCGCCTCCCAGAGCGTATTGTGATCAACTGGCTACCCAGGTTCTCTTTTATCCTAACTTATCAATCGCTGTCGCAGAGCCTGTCGGGATACAACTCCCAAGTTTAAAAACGAATCGTCGTGTCCTCATCCGTAGACACATTTAAGAGGAAGCTTCACCTGTACAGGGATATGTACCTCCACGACATCAGAAACTAACAAATTTCCCCCTGTACCACCCGCCTCGTAACGTTTTACGTTACAAAACATGCTACTCCCTATATTTAAGTAGCATTTGTTTATGACTGTTCTCTGTCTATTGACAGAAGCATATACGCTTGCTTCGATATTACTTGGTCCATTCAGTGCCGCCTACTGGTTATTGTACAGTTTTGAGGTAGAAGGCATGCACAGACAATTTTTTACCAGTAACTGATGCTTGTTGTATGTAATTACTTACCTAACTTTCTTTGACACTTGCCTTGCGCATTGTTTTTCATGACGTTATTATAACCGAATGGGAATTCAAAGGCGCTCGCCTACCTTTCCTTTAATAAATCTGATTTGATCTGCTTTTCTCCTGTTTGGCGTATAAATTCCCGTCAAACATCCCCACATTGCAGAAATACCTCCACGACACATGTATGTGATCTTGAACATCTGCGCGCCCGTCGCAAAGGACTCTAGTGCGGGCACACCCTCACCTTTCTACGTAGTAACTACTTTCGATAAGGTTTGGAACACCTACGTAAGTTCAGCCCCGGATCCTCCTTCGCCGTCTTCCAGCCCAACTGCTACGGCATTCATCGTGATCGGAGTTGCGCAAGTTCAACTTCTAAGGCCAAAGAAGGTAAGTAATGGGTCCTCTACTGCCTATTTATATTACTGTTCCAAACCAGTAATATAAACCAGCCAGCAAGCATAAGAAGTAGAGTGGGTTTAAAATTCAAATGGAATAGGCGACTCTGATTCTTCTGCCAAATGACCCTGCCCGAATTGCAAACAGCGAAGTTTTGGGCCTTAAGCCTGGGTTCATATGGTCATTCGGTTGTGAGATTTAGCAGTTGAGCGATGGACTGAAGCGCTGTCAATTTTGGTCGGTACTACTCAAGGCCGAGTGGGATGGTTGCGCTCCACCTCGAATCAAACCCTTGGCATGTAGTCGGGATGTGTTAATTGTGCAAGACTTCCTACTACATCTATTTAAGTAGGCGTCGTAAGGTTAAGTTCTCCCGGCCATCAGCCCCACAGGCAATCGCATACTGATGAGTCGTTAACAAAACATCGGCCTCTAGACGGGAGCCGCGGAGCAGAACATAGCTCTGGTGCCCCTTCCTACGCTCAAGCCAGGTCTGTAAATGCTACTTCTAGGTGAGACTGGTGAAGGAATGTCTCGTGGTACTGACTGATTGGATTTAAATTCCGTCTTCAAAATTCGTATAAATTACGACTGTTAGGCTCATCCGCAATGTGATGATCCTCCTTGTTGGATGTGATTCCATCGGTTGATTCCGTAGTCAGCCTCTAGCAGGTCTTGGACCTGTTATAGTAACTCGATGTTTAGGTGTTTGGGATACAGACGCGTCCATCTCCGGTCGCCTTGACGTCGTTTTGCACGGAGGGTGTGCGAGGGGAGACAAAGAGTTTGCGACAGGTACTACACAAGTGTAAACATCCGTCTCGCCCCAGATGCGCATTAGTGTTAAGTTCCCGAGTCCTGCCGACTGGTGGGTGAAGCTTTGTCTGCTAACGGAGTACGTATCGAGTACCTATACAATTTGTGATCTTTTTCAAGCAACCGGATTGTCAAATCGTGTTCAGCCGCGTCGCAGTTACTATGACTGGCAGTCCGCTTACTTTGCAGGTAAACCTTCTTAAATTTCATTCCGAGTGGGTCAAAAGACCAGGGCGGACAGTGTGCTGTCCTGACAGTCTAAGATGCGATGTTCAGCATTATCGTGCTTAGCAAAGTGTCTGTACTTTTTACGCTTTTATAAGAGTTCTTCCCCCAAACCAATGTACACATCTGCTCATCTCATCCTTTTTTAGCTGCCAGTTGAATTTATGATCGAAAATCCCCCATCAGCGGAGTCAGAGAGCGTGTCGATTGAACCCTTGAAGGTGAGAAGAGCGTTTGCTTTAGTCTGTCTCTGGAAAACGTCAGGAGTGCTGATGAACACAGTGGCGGAATTAAAAGCCAAGAAAATCCTTCCTATCCTGACTGGTTGCGGAAATTATAAAGTTTAGCGAAAAACCGCATACTGTGCATCTGAGTATGGCATGTTTTTTATTAGTTAGGAACAAAAACTGTCCTCCGTGATATGACAGTCCACCCGTCGGTTCTCAGAATTTGCGTGCCGCCATTTTAAGAATTTCAGTTGTAGGTCTTCGACGCTTTCGTAGTCTTGCTCAACCCATCATAAAGAGCAGGTTAATAAATTCCATAAGAACTGATGCAAGTGTCCAGATGTGATTTTTCAAAAAATAATACTTAAACAAGCCTTCAGTTTGGCGTAGTTTTTGACCGACGTTCACGTCGAAACGAATTCGGAGGGCTCACAAAGTCACGCAGTTCCCTAGAGCACCCCTTATCTGTTTCTCTTCCAGACCAGACATACGTAAAACTCCTCCAGACATCCGGCTCGATCACTGGCATCTGTCAGTTGAGAGTTAATCATTGTTTGCAAATGCCTGATGAGGTAAAATGACAGTGGTAGGATGTAGGACCTCAACTAACCCGAGGTAGCCTGTGGACCGTGTCATACGTTGAATGGTTGTAGAGGGGACGAAGAGCGGGCGGAATGCAAGAAAATACAGAAAATAAATAAATATCTGCCCGGAGTCTTATTGCATGCTTCCATACGACAAAGAACGTGAGCGCGATAATTTAAAAAAGTAGACAAAAGCAATTTTTAGGAATTAGGGATATTTAAATTGCCGGCCGCTCTCAGATTAAAGTTCAATCAGGAAGCCCAGGACAACTCAACCAATGGGAACGGTGGATAATGGGTGATGTTGACAGTCACACGGAATTTTAGTTGCCAGCTAGGTGGGATCCTGCACCCTAACGTTACTAATTAAGCTATCGGATATCTAGTGCATTTGTTTCTGAGGTATTAAAAATGAGAATGTCCCATTTAAAGAAGCCTCCGCTTGCTCACCAACATTCGTGGTCCATTCTTGTTGCCGTCTTTGTCGTTTTTATGCTAATGGTCTGCGAGAGCTTCCAGACATTCCGCAGCCATTTGGTAGTTGTCGTAACGACGATGGCGACGATGATAATGATGATGATGATGATGATGATGATGATGATGATGATGATGATGATGATGATGAGGAGGAGGAGGAGGAGGAGGAGGAGGAGGGTGGCCCAATGATAGAAGGTGGAATCTCCCTTAACCGGGCTGCACCAGCCTTGAAACGTAGAGTAGGTGGGCTAACTAATGAAATGTCAACCGAAATTCCGAAAGGTGTTCTCGTTCTGAAAAGGTTAACTAAGTAGCGCTGTAAAATTAGTCAACCTGAAATATAATTATATGGTAATTCAGTTACCCCAGGGTGCTGTCTTTCGAACGGACTTCCTTCCGACTGCATGCAAAAACTTTACTCTACAGAAAATGGCTACTTAAGTAGTATGCATTTTCTAATTGATTTTCGATGTCCTTAAAAATTCAATTATATTTCATGGAAATCATGCATAAAAATATTTATTCTTTCACTCATTCGGTAGAACATTACATCCTTTACCAAATGTATACTCAAAGGAAGGATACTATTCGGTTTTCAAAAGCTTTTCCGATTCCCGAATAATTTTGAGCTCGCGTACGGAAAACCACACATTTCTCTATGGTAATAAAGGGGGACTATATTGGTTCATAAAACTTAGCAGTGGACTTGATCCATATTGTCAACTTTACAGAACACATTGGCAAATTCAGAGACATGACTATTTATGAACGGCTATTTTACGGTATTTAAAAGTCCCCCAATTCGAAACTTTTTTAAAACCGAATTATGACCCTCCTTCGTGAATAATATTGGAAGAAGACGTAATGTTCTACCGAATGAGTGAAAGAATAAATATTTTTATTCATGCTTTCCATGAAATATAACTGGACTTTTAGGGGCATCGAAACTCAAAGAGAAAAGTTCATGTTACTTAGATAGTCATTTTTAGAGTGTTGTTTTTGCATGCAGCGGGAAGGAATTTCATTCGAAAGTCGGCATCCTGAAGTAACTGAAATATTATAGAATCATGCTACAGGCTGATTAGTTTTATAACCATACTTACTTAATAATTTTTGGAAAGGAAATCGCATTTCGGGATTTCATTTCGCGAGTTAGCCCGCCTACTGTAAGATAGTGCCAAATCTGCATGTTTGACTTCTAGAAAAAAATTAACCCATGGTATGCCTCTTTCCGCCAGAGAGACGGCGGTCTCTTTCTGTGACGTTGATCTTCTTCTATTTGCGTTGCTAACGATGGTTATTTCATCTTACTTTCAGGGTTCACTAGACCTAGGTTGCGAACAGGTACTACGCATCACCTGGGAACCGAAGCTACATCAGGTAATACCATGAAAACTGCTGTGATGACTTTTAACCATTTTTCGGCCTTAAGTAACTGGCGTTCTTCATTTCGGAAGTCGGCGGATGAAATAGGCCGAAGGCACATCTTCTGCTAAAGCAAGATCATTTTGGATCAAGATGAAAACGCCGAAGTCGCCGGGGAATTCCTTGTCTAATATCAAATATCCATATAGCGTATCCTAATTTTGCATATATCGCTTGTGTCATGTTACCACCCTGCATTTTGTTAGATTTAAAGTCATGGCTTCTAAAGCATCGTGGTAGTTTGAGTGCACACCTGTCGGGATTTAGTGGGAACACACTTTATAGGTCCTTCTCTATGGGAAAAACAAAGTCCAAGGGCCTATCCGTGATTTATGGATGTCCGCAAGCGTGCATGACTCCCTACAAAAATAGCTAGTCTTCACAAGGATAGTCTGGCTTTCGGAGAATCTAGGTCGCCTTTGAGCACCGAAATCTCATTGCCGTGCCTTTCAGATGCCAAGCCGTCACGATTCATCTTCGCATGTATGATGTGCCGGCCAGCCGTTTGGTCAGCGCTCTACCATTGGGCCATGAACTCACGCACTGTTCGACTGCCCTTTGAGACAATGAAAATTTCCCCTATATAATGTCTACTGGTCGATATCTATCGTATCATTGCAATGTTTGACCTAGCGCAGTTTGTGACAAGTCAAGCAAGAAGAAATCTGGACGAATAACTCGCTTGCGTAACCCGGACCCCTTTTCCTTTTATCAAACTGGCTATGAGAAGGCCTGCATGAGAAGACCCTTGCATGATATGAACGGTGCTTTTTCAGGTCCGGTAGTGTGATGTTTGTGGACTAAAGCAGCCCGGTTTGAATGGCAGTCCAGTGCAACGAAGATATACTCCCCAAAAACATTCTTCCTTGCCTAATTCCCCGTTTTTTCCCCTAGGACCCAAAGAGTGCCGTAACGCTCAACATTCTTTTCAAAGGAGATACAGTATACCGTCAGGCAGTCAGTGTTTCGGGCAGAATACTGTGAAGTTCCTCAAAACTCTGCTGCCTTTTTCCAAAAACTACCCTGTACACTGTTTTTGCTTCCTGTCCGAGCGTTGCACATCAACATTACGATTTTTGACAGACTGCCTCCTTTTAATGAAGCACCGATTGGCGAACGACTGTATTCGATCATTCGTCCTGCGTGTAATATTCGGGTTGGAATGTTTACTTATGATATAAAAGTAGATGTTTTAAAAAACGTAAAACATTGGCGGGCGTGTTCTGCCATCGGGTACGGAGCTCGTGAGAAATTCTCTAATGATACTCATGAAATCGCACATCATTGCAAAAAATCCCGCCGCTATTTGTTAAGTTGTTTTCCGCAAGACAGTATATCGCAGATCTGCAAAAATGTACCCTGAATGCTAGTCTCTGAATGGCAGTAATTTATTTGCACTTTGTCCGTGTTAACTCTGATAAAATAGGAGATACAAGTAACCGAAAAACGGGGTCAGACTTTCCTTTACACCCTCCAGACGCTTAGCAATTTTCGTTCGGTAGTTGCTTTTGCGTTCCGTGTGGTTTGAGCTGGCTTCTCTATCGAAATAACTACGACTGTCAGCAGCAGAGCTGCCTACCGTTTTTCGAGCTTCGATAACATCATGTTTTTGCTAGGACCAAGATGCTATGAGATACTGGCGTAGGTTGTCTATGCTGAGCTATAACCATAGCAGCCGTTCCCGTTCGCCTTCTTGGACTAAGGGATTTTGAGCTCGAATTCCCCTTTATAATGAGAGAGTAAATTATTGGCCTGTCCAGGTCTAGCACTCCAAACCGGATTGGTTCTCAAAAAGCCAGGTTGGCAATTTCTTGTTTGTGTCGTCACCGAGCAGCCTTACCTCAATACCAGGAGGACCCCTGGGCGTTTAAATGGGTATGGTTGGTCACTACGCACTTTTAAAACAAGCGCTCTTTTAAGCGAGCTGCAGACTTACAGGGATCGTCTAAAATTGGTAGTCCTTAGTCACACAAGAATGTCCTTTATTGGCCTATCCTGACTGCAAAACAGGATTTTTATTCCGCAATCACGCCTTCTCCGCAAATTCCGTCCAATTGGATACTTGGACACAAAGAACCGTTCAACAGCGGGACTGCTGCCCTACTGTTTCATGCCGCGAAATGTCTTTCCCGTACAAAAACTGAGAAGTCACTTGACGATCTTAATTTAGGTAGTGATTATTTTAGGCACCTGTAGAGGGGCGCTCACGGATCGCGTTACGGAACTCACCCGTCCCGTTTTGCCTTGGACCTCTTCCACTCTCTCGAGCCTCGCCAGCAACCGCACAGCGGAGCGTGCCAACCAGGACAAGGGAGACTGGAATAGTCATTTCGGGCTTATTAGCCGTGGTCAGCCAGCTCTTGCCTGAAATAACTAATAATCGTGTTGCGGATTTTGGTCCGTTCAGTGGACCAATGGATATCATCCAGAGAAGTTACCCCAATAACATTAACGCAACAGAAGCGGTGTAAAGTGACAGTGAAAGTTTATTCAGTTCAGTTTATTGAGGGAAATGTAGGTCTTCACCTTTGAACTCCCTATTTGTTTACAAGTAACTGGAAAATCTCAAAAACTCGAAAAGGTATCATAAAGGGAACAAGTAATCGGAAAAGCGTCAGATCTGTACGGACAAACAAACTGTCTCGAATGTTATTGGTACGAGCATTTGCAGAGCGGTCGTTTCGAGTGCAGGGAAATAAATAATATACCCGGTGACAAAAGATGCATAGGTGCATGTCAGTAAGCGTAGGCGATGGGTTGGTGACAATAAGAAATTTGATTTAAAATGCTACCTAAATATAGCAAGTAGTATTATAACAAAGGAATTTGTCGAGGTTTCAGAGATCGAGTGGTAGTTTAGAGAACACTGCTACACAAATCCAGCTTCCTCTTAAAGACCTCGAAGGAAGCAGACATAACGCCATCAACAGGCAGGGCATTTCAGACTTCTAGCACTCTGTTAGAGAAGAAGAACTTTCGTGTGTCCGGTATGGCCCCTGTCAAAAGGGTCGGAAGTAATTCCTCATTAGATAACCAATACCCAATCTGGCTTCAGGTGCAACGAGCATAAAGGCTCCCGAACATTATAGGTCATTAAAAATACGAAATCCGCACAGCAAGATGACTTTTGGCCTAAGACGGACGCGGCTGTAGGCATCTAAAAGTAGGTGAATTATTTGGCGAGCAGACGCCTGATTTCGGTAGACTCTCATCAGACCAGTAGGTGGGCTGATTCATGAAATGTCAACCGAAATATCGAAATGCGTTCTCGTTTCGAAAAGATTAATTAAGTAGGGTTGTAAAACTCATCATCATGCAGCATAATTCTATAATGATCCAGTTACCTCAGGGTACCGGCTTTCGAATGAGCTTATTTCCGACTGCATGCAAAAATATACGCTGTAAAAATGGCTACTTAAGTAGCATGAAATTTTCTCACTGATTTTCGATGCCCTTGAAAATTCAATTATATTTCATGGAAAACATGCATAAAAATATTCATTCTTTCACTTGTTCGGTAGAAAATCACGTCTTCTTCCAATTTCATACTCAAACGAAGAGTATAATTCGGTTTTAAAAAAGTTTCCAATTGTGAGATTTTTTAATACCGTTAAATGGCCGTCCATGAAACGTCATGTATCTGCATTTACGAATGTGGCTCGTAAAGTTAACAATATTGCTCAAACCTACTGCTTAGTTTTAGGAACCCCATATGGTTTCCTCTCAATACCGTAGAGAAACGCATGGTTTCCCGTACATGGAAAATATGCGTCTTTTAGTTTCGAAACCCTGAATGCAAGTGTAACAGCAGGTGGGGTTCAAGATTATTCGGGAATTAGAAAAGTTTTTTTAAACCAAATTATACTCTTCTTGAGGGTTTCCAAACTACAAGCCGTACATTTTCCGCGTACGGAAGGCCACACAGTTCTCTACGGCATTCAGAGGAGATCACATGGAGTTCATAAAGTTTAGCAGTGCATTTCATCCATATTTTTAACTTTACAGGACGCATTGGCAAATGCAGAGACATGGCGATTTATGAACAGATCCCACAGTTAGAAACTTTTTTAAAACCGAATTACGTCCCTACTTCTAGTATAAAATTAGAAGAAGACGTAATCGTCTGCCCAATGAGCAAAAGAATGAATATTTTTACGCATGTTTTCCATGAAGTATGATTGAATTTTCAAGGGCATCGAAAATCAATGAGAAAATTGCATGCTGCTTAAGTAGCCATTTTACAGAGTATATTTTCTGTATGCAGTCGAAAAGATGTTTGTTCAAAAGCCGGCATCCTGAGGTAATTGAATTATTATAGACTGGGGCTGCAAGATGATTAGTTTTACAACCCCACTTAAGTAATCTTCTCGAAACGAGAACGCATTTCGAAATTTCGGTGGACGTTTCATGAATCAACCCCCCTACTGTATATGACAGTGGGGTCAAGTAAAGCACGTGGGTAGTGAGAGGAATTATGCAATGCTCATCACTTCACACAAGTGAGGTGTGGTGAATATGGACGGACAAGTAGACGCTGGTAGTACCAATGTACTCGGCCGACGATAATACAAGTGGGGGTCGAAAAGAGCCGAGTCAAGTGGAGGGGTGAAGGTGCGAAGAATTGCATGCAGTCAGTAAGTTAACTGGCTTTTTGGTCACGGTAATTGCGGGACGCGCTTGGAGGGGGGCTCTTCTGCACACACCAGACCGGCTCTCGTAACCTGACGGCAGTCGCCTCTGTTGTTGCTAGCAGACGCTGACCCAGTGGCTTAGGGTAGTTCGGTGGGACCTTGTAAATCACCGGAAGGCTGCGTTGTGGTCTGCAGGACAACCAAAATCACCAACATGTGAGAGAGAGTGGCGCCGCTTAAAGTTCTACCTTCGTCTTTTCTCAGAAATGTCGTGGGAGGGTGTGTTCACGTATTCTTTTAGATAGGCAGCGACTCGTGCGACCAATATAAACTGTGCCAGAGGAGCAAGTAAGGGAGCAAATTATACCCAAACACTCACTGACGGGGTGACTGTGAAACAGCTCATATAGCTTCTATTTGCCTTTCTCATAGCATTTTATGGGATGGACAGATTTCCGTGTGCCGTTTTTTCGGTTGCTGCCGAGCAGTTGTCCCGAAGATTTCGCCTCAAATTTTATGTACTAAGTAAATTTAAAACTGACTTCCTTACAGGGGCTTCTGTATTTAAGGAACGTCCTGAGAGTTCGCAGCGAGATCGTAAATGGCGAACCTGTAAAACTTTTGGGCTGCATTTTTCCATCTTTTATCAGGTAGCAAAATGAGCAACATTTTCATCTCAAGCGCCTAATGGACTCCCTAAACAATTGGCATAGGTCTAAGCACACTAGAGTCCTTTATTTTTTATAGAAATCAGTAAAGTTTGTATGTACATCAGGGGAGACTAGAGAGTAGACTGATTCTCCGTCATTATCATCACAATATAATTAAATAAGAAGACACCTCCACGTAGAATAGCTTACAAGATTCCCATATGACTTAGCAGACAGTTTTGTAAAAAAATGGTAGGGTAGGCGAAGAAGTACCCAACCCCACCCCCGTTTTATAAGTGGCAATGTGCAGTGTTCCAGAGGGTTAGGGTTAGGGTTTGTACTAGTTCTGGTATGAGAGTTAGGGCTAGAAGGACCAGGGTTAGGATGGCTAGTGTTATGATAAGGGTTAAAGTTAGAACACGAGAATATGCACATCCTGAAATTTCGAAACCAGTCAAATAAACGAATTGTTCCAAGTGTTAAAAACATTAACATTACTAAACTGCTGTATAGTAGTCAGTCTATGCATAATTGGTGCCATCCCAGTTTCTGAGGGAGACGAATTGAATGTCAACACTCTCATTCAACGGACCTGGGATAATAGTAAGAAAACAAACGTTACTGAAATACAGGCAGTAATATAATAGCCTTAATCAACTGTTAGAACGAAATGCTAAGACTATATTCGTCAGGTACCATTATG